ATATATATATATATATATATATATATATATATAGTATGCATTTGTTGACTAAACCTTTTCACTTCCCTTAATTCAAAATTCTTTACCTTTTTATGTAGTTCTGGAATCATGGGAAAAGAAAACACATGCTTTTTAAAGTGGGGTTCTAAATTCTTTTTTAAAGAAAGAATGCAGTCACAAGGGGGTTTATGGATCACCTGACTGATCATCATGTGAGATGCTGGAGTGTTGCAGTCACGCTGTTTAAGATGCTGCTGAAGAAGAAGGGGGATGCAGAAATGTGATGTGAAATCCAAAACCCAAGTTCACAGTTGCTTTTTGTGATTGTTCTTCTACTGCACACACACAATAAAAGGATACTGCTTTTTTTTTTTAAGTTGTGAGTCTTATCAGCACTGTTAAATATTGTTTCTAATATCTTTCCACTTATTTGTGTGGAAGGGCCCTTCCACGTTTTAACAAATAGGCCATTGTTTGCCTATAACATCCTTCTGAATTTACATTTCACAAAAAACACAAAAAATCTGTTGTTGGCATTTAATGTTTCGCATTATAATGGACCCCTTGTACTCTGGGCCGGGGTGGGTGGATCTCTATCACAAGCTTAGGTGAATTTCCTGAGGCCTGGGAGCTTGAAGGATTTTTTAGGATCTTAACTGTTCTGAGCACTACGATCTGAAATGTTTAATGTTTCTTCCGGTATCTGTTGGAGCCACTTCTGACCCTTCTATCCCCAGGATGCTTCCTTTGGTTCCTTCTCATCCAGCTTTCATGGCCTGAGAAATTCACTATGCACTTCCTCACCATCTTCCTAATTTACTCTTTGAGTTTGGATGTTTCATCTTTGATGGTGGCTCTGAGGCTCAGTAGGCCTCTACCTGCATCTTTACGCTTAATGTATATTTTGTGGTTACTGGCTACACACTAAGTGGATCATTTGACCAACTTATTGGTAAAGCATAGCTGTTGATTACCGTGTTTTTTTTTGGGTTTTTTTTAAAGTAATTTTCTGGAGGGCTTAGTCCCAGTTTTGACAACTTTCAATCATGTGCTTTTGTGTCGCTGCAGGATTCAGCACAGCAGTCCAAAGTTCCTTTTCAACCCACGATAGAGTTCTTACTGTTGAGTCCAAAACAAGTAAAGAAATGGGAGCTAAGAGTGACAATTTCCACAATTGGAAATCATCCTATTTTTGCAGTAGATTATTTTTTTCACGTGTATTTAGTGCTGAGGACACTATATGTGTGTGTATCCTCAATTGAAAGGGATGTGAAGGACGCCATTTCTGTTGGAAAAACCAACCTTAAACAGAGGGGGTGGACTCAGGTTTCAGCTCTCGAAAACCTATAACGCAGCTTTAGAGCTGATTCCTTTACGCTATCAATCCTCATCACCACGCAGGGGCTCAAAACATCTCGCCAGTTCAGCCAGGCCAAAAACGACCCTAACAACTCCCCTTTACAGAGGCATGGGTAATTGTTGGGTTTTACTTCATTTTACGTTTTACAAAGACCTCAAAGACTCCCCATTACTAAGGGGTGGACCTGTTTTTAAGTTCAATTTGCATGTTTTCTAAGCCATAACAAGGCTCTTGTTTGTGCCACTCTATAAGCCCTGCACTCAGTGCTACATCAGACGTTTTGAATTCAGAAAGCTTTTTGGATGGGAATCGAAACATCTTCAAACTTGGATAATAAAGTCATGTTTTTTTTTTCCTTTGCCCTTTTTTCCTTTCTGCCTCTGCACTCCAAAAATTCTGTGCATGCCATTGCTAAATAATCATCAATGTGTTTACAATTCCAACTTTTTACATTCCAGTTAAATTTGTCCTTTGCATTTAAACCATACACTGGGCTGCCACAGTGCAGCACAGTGAGAACTTTATTGGGTTTAATGGTCTAGCTCAGGGACTAAGGGGGCGAATCTATGGGAATTAAACCAGACAACAGCCTGGCTTCTGATCTTTGTTTTCAAAATAAACATTCCATGAAAATTTACAAACCCTGCTTAGATTTCTAAATTCTTCTTCAAGAATGTATTGGCGGATGGCAAACAACTATATGGTGCATTACCGCCACCAACCAGTAAGGAGGGTGGTTCAGGACAAACATGCTCAAAAATAAATAAATAAAATAAAAACTATATTCTTTTCGCTAAACCTGTTACCAGTAAATAATGAAACATAATACTATAACCTAAATCGAAAGTGCTTTTCCTTAAAATAATTATTAGACAATACTTTTCTTTTTCCTTTTCAAGACTCCTTATCAGCTGTGCTCTTTGTCTTTGATATTTCCTACAGTTATACATAACCCGTTCTATCGTTTCAAATTCCCCACATACATTGCAAGTTCCTATTTCATGTTTTCCCAGTAACTGTAATGTTAACTTAAAGCTACAGTGTGTAACTTTTAGCGACATCTAGCGGTCAGACTGCAGCAACATGAACATCTCCCCCCCCCCACCGCTTCTCCCCCCCAACAGTACGGCGAGCGTTACGGGACAAAATGTCTTCCACGACGTCCACATCACCTACCTTCTCAAGTGATGAGGTTTGTTTACATAGATAATTTTACAGATAGTATTTCATTAGTCTGTGTAGGGTATAGATTTCATGTAGACTTAAGATAATAAATATCCCCATTATTTTTTCTACATCGTTGTGACGTTTTGGTGATCTCGCAATTGCTAGTTTGTTGGCTCTGCGCTGCGTAGCGCAAAGATGTCTGCCTCCATGGCTGCGAGACCCGCTCCTATGTAATTATAAATAACGAATTCTAAGGCAACGCAAATATTAAGGTTAAGAGGCTGAGCTCGTAGATGATGATAAATAACATAGTTATGTATAATATATTACATTTCTGACTGTATATCCCTGTAATTATTACACACTGTAGCTTTAAGTCCTGTATGTCCCAACCATAGTCTTATTATCCTTTCCTGTATTCTGCTCCTCCCAATTTTTCCAACCTTCCTTTGTATTCTGTAAAACCATCTTCCTTTTACATCTTCTTCCCAATATTTTTGCCGTTTTTCTTGAATCTTTCTTTTAATAATACTTTTAACCTCTGATTTACTCATGTCAATTTGATTTCTAAACTCGGATGTGACGTAATGTATGGCGCAGCCTATTAATTTCCCGCGCTTTACTGGGAGGGAACTATCTTGAACCTAGTGAAATTATAGAGAGGTAACTATCTTGACAAGTGAAAGCAGACTCTTTGAGATCTTAAGAACCGCGGAGCAAAGGGAGACGGCAGAGAGCAACGAACTTGAGGAAAGCGGTGTCTCTGAAGGAAAACCTGAACGATGGCGTCGAAGTTTTACAGCCTGACGGCCAAACTGCTCACAGGAGAAATATTTAATTTCTCGTCACTTCAGGGTAAAGTCGTCCTTATTGAGAATGTCGCGTCTCTCTGAGGCACGACGGTCAGGGATTACACCCAGATGAACGAGCTCCACGAGCGGTACGCCAGCAAGGGGCTCGTTGTCCTGGGAATACCCTGCAACCAGTTCGGCCATCAGGTGAGGACCTCTTTCTACAACCCTGTCTGTTTACAGAGCAGTCACGTAACAGCATGTAGCCTACTTGTAGTCTGTTTTTATTTTTTTATTTAAATTTGCAGTTTATCTTGGGGGGGTTATTTTATTTTCCAAATTTTTCCAAAATTGGATTTTATTATAAAAGGCTCTTCTTGCTATTGTTTGAGATTATTTGGTTAAAACCTACATTAACTTGTTAGCTTACCTGGAAAAAACAAGTTTTGAGGAATTTTTAGAAAAAGAGGAAATGACACTTGAGTTACACCCATTAGCTAAATAAACATCCATTATATATGTTTTTTTTTTTATTGCTTTAAAATGTACTTTATTGCAATAAACCAAGTGAAGACCGCTGTGACTTAGTAAATTATTTATTTGGATTACAACTGACTTAATTAGCCTATTTTTTATTTTTATTTTTTTAACTGTAATGAGGAAGTCAGTTTTTCTTTGTCCTTCCTGGTTCAGATAAGGGCAAACATGAGTGAGACCGCTTGATAATATCAGTGTTAATAATCGACCCACAGGAGAACTGCAAGAATGAAGAAATCCTCCTGTCCCTGAAGTATGTCCGTCCTGGAAACGGCTTCGAGCCGAAGTTTCAGCTCCTGGAGAAGGTGGACGTCAATGGGAAGGATGCCCATCCCCTGTTTGTGTTCCTCAAAGAAAAGCTCCCATTCCCCAGTGACGAGCCTTCATCCCTGATGAATGACCCCAAGCTGATCATCTGGAGCCCAGTGAGCAGAAACGACATAGCCTGGAACTTTGAGAAGTTCCTCATTGGGCCAGATGGAGTGCCTTTCAAGCGATACAGCAGGAGATTCCTCACCAGCGACATTGAGGGAGACATCAAGAAGCTCCTCAGCCAAGCCAACTAACCACCCTAAAGCTCACGCTTGCACCATTAGTTCTAGCACTAATCCAAGGTGTTTCCATCAGGTTGACATCATTGGGCCTTTTTGTATTCCCTCCATGGTGTTTTATTTGGCATCACCTGTGCTCTCCTGTGTCTGGTGTGGCTGTGTTGTTTGTTTTTACTGTATGAAGACATCCTCTGAAACCAGGTGTAAGGGGGGTGTTGGATGAAATGTAAAATGTGCAACATTGACAGCTCCACCAGCTGCGTGGAAAGCACAGCTGAAGTGAGATATGTGAGGTCTAATAAAAAGTCTTTTTCCAAAAAATGTCTTTTTTTTTCCCCCAGACCCTTAGATGCTGTATGGCATCTAAACAGCTATATATTATATTTTAGTTAAGTTCCGTTTAGTGAGCTAGAAAGGTCAGCAAAGTTAAATATAGTTTGTGAAATAGCTGTTTTGTTCTGCAGCCTCATGCACTTACCATTGCAGATCATAGTTTATTTTTCTACCAGACAGGTGTGGTTAGTAATTAAGGTTTAGTCACCTGACATAAAATGTTACTTTGCAACCCAGAGAAGATGCTTCATCACCAGCCTTAAGTAATGCACATAATCCCTGCTTTATGCTTAGGCTCAGAATAAAGCTCCTTCCTGCTTTAGTTCTGATTCTGCCACAAGCTTGCATCATTGTGGGGATTGTGTGTTTAGGTGTATATATTTATCTCAGACATCTGTCAACCATACAGATCAGTTCTGTGTAAATTAACCAGAGTAGGGCTGAAGCAATTTAACACAAATTGTAACATTGGTAAAGTGGTGAAAAATCTACTTTTGTAGCAGTATAAAGAAACTAAAGATTTTCCATTGGATATTATTAAATTACATGTGTATTTTTTGCCATTTCAAATGCTCAGTGTTTAAATGTTTAATGAAAGTACCTCTTTTTGATTAATCAAATAAAATGGATTAAATAGAATAAAAAATGTTATCAAATAAAACTGAGCATATATAAATTGGGGGAGTGTTGGCCTAGTGGCTTAGAGCAGCGTGCTTGTGATCTGAGAAGGTTTCAAGTACCCAAATCAATCCACGCTTGGTCCCTGAGCAAGACCCTTAACCCCCACACTGCTCCCTGAGGGGATGGGTTAAATGCAGAGGTACATTTCTCAAATGTGAGATCAATAAAATTCAATTATTAAAATAACAGTCGCAGCTCAAAGCCAGAGGATCTTGTTCCATATTTGCTGTATCCCATCTTAATTCTATCTGAATGAAAATTTGACTTATTGGCTTTTTCTGTGCCAGAAATCTATTAAAGCCAGGATTGTAGTTTGTAGTGCAAAACAAAAAGTAGTGCTGTCAAAGCATCCTTCCACTTGAGCTATGGATCTCTGCAGCTTCTCCAGATACCAAAGGTCTCTTGGCTGACTGATTAATGCTCTCCTTACCCAGATTGTCAGTCTAGCTGTGCAGCCAAGCTTTGGCAGCTTTGCAGTTCATTCATCCTCTTGCTTTGTCAGATGTTCAGATCTACTGTAATGGTATGCTGTTTTTTTTTTTCTTGATCTTATTCAAAGGATGCCTAAAAGCATTTGTAATGCATTTTATTCAGAGGACTCAGATTAAACGGTGGCTGACATGCAAACCACACATTTCAGAAGGTTGTTGAAACATTTTGTTCTATTATGCCAAATCTTTTTTGGTTTATTACCTGTAAATATACACACCGATTCCAGTTTTTATGTCAAAAAGGAGCACTACTGCAGAATATTTATCCCTGCTGCCATTAGACTCCACAATGCAACATTATAACAGCTTGTGTAATATCTAATACTCTGTGCAAAAACACTTTATAATAATCCTGCTAAATAAGAGACTTCAGCCGTCAGCTATCCATCTATCTATATAGACACACTATATATACCCCAAGCACCTTTTCCTCCTTTTGGCACCTTCTTTTTGACTATTGAGCTGATGTAATGAGAACATTTCTCTACTGTGAGATCAATAAACTCAATCAATTTATTATGTGAAATCAAATATATCTCATTTATAAACAACCTGGATAAATGGATGAAAGGAATTTTTACAGCTACTGAGAATATTTCTACACATCTCTTAGACTGCTGTCAGGCTTGTTCTGTGTTTTTTTTCTTGGTAGAATGGTCTTCCAGCAAAAGAGTGATTACAGGCAGAAAGCTTTACAAAGTTGCAGATGTGTATTATTCAGGTAATCATCTCTGAAAGGTGCAGCTATATTGGAACCAACCAGTAGACTGTGCACTTAAAAAAAAAAAAACATCACTTATTTATTCTATTTATTAAACAAGAGTGCAGAACTTTTTCCACACAACACTGTAAACAAGTACTAAACACCTTTAACATGTCAAACCACACATCTTAAGCGCATTTTATTCCATCTCTGTTGCTTATCATTTCTAAGATGCTAAACTCTGCATTTACTTTGTGCCAATTAAAACTACATGGAGTTTGCTGCTTCACTTATGTTTGGCATTACATGCACAGCATTCCCATGTTTAATTTCCAAGATCAAAACCATCATTTTTATACCAGTTTATTTCTTTCACTCAGTGTGCTTTGAAACATAAAACAGGCATTTCCGTACAGAGCGGCATGAATGTACATGACCAATGAGGACGATGCTATTGCAAGGTGAGCTGGTCTGATCCAGCAGCAATCAAAAGACCCTTAAAAAGACTAAGTGATTTAGAAAGTGCACGAGTGACCATAAGCCTTAATGCTACAGCCACACCACACCTTCCTGACTAAATACACCAGAAGCAGACAGATCATGTACTTGTAAAGATTTCAAAGTGCCTCCTTTGTTTTCAGGTTTGCAGGAATAAAAAGGCCGCTTATTTCTTTTAGATTATATAAAAAAGGAAAACTTTTATGAGGGTAGGAATCTTCTCATAACAGGCCCAAAGGACAGCAAAATTTAAGCTGTTCTTTATAGAAAAAAACAAAAGCAAGGCCGACCAGCTTTAACCTGCCAAGTCCAATGTCAAAAAGGTGAATGTATCACAGAGCTGTGACAGCTATGCACCCAGGGATCCACCAATAAGGACGCAGCAAAGCCTCTATAATGGTGGCAGCCATTATTCTGTGAGCAGCTCACACGCATAAACCTGCATCTCCATTAATGAAACCAGAAGTTCAAAATAAATGTAGGCAGCACACCAAAACCCTGCTAACCTATGCATCACATCTATTCATAAATAACTAGAATTACTTTGGTTGAAACAATATGAGCATTTGGCTTTTTTCTTTTCGATTTTCAATAATTTTTGTGGGCACTTGTAACATTCTGCTCATCTAGAGAGAGCTTCTATTTTAACTGTCATTCCTCCAAAGCCCCAAATGAGTTCACTATGACTACCCGATGCCCGGGGGAAGTCTTTTAGTTCACCTTTTGGACAAGGCTGTTCGCTGAAGACAAAGACAAGACGGAAGTCAAATAAACGCGAGGAAGAAAGGGTTAATAAGTCTGTGGAGTCCTCTACCACTAAAGAAGTATGGTGTGCGCATGTCCAAGTCTCTATTCGCCATTTTTTCCAGGTTGCATTTAAGGGTCAGAGCTCCTCAGTTTGTGTCCATGTGGTCGTCTGCCGCCTCGGCAGCTCCTCCCAGCGAGGCAGATGGCTCAGCTTTTAAGGGGTTTTCCTCTTCTCTGCGCTGATAGAACAGCACGTAGGCTGCTTTAGTCTGCGACAAGATGACAGGGTTAAGGTTACACTACAACAACAAGGACACCTGACACTGCAGACAGAAAATCAAGAAGGCAAAGGAGTCATTCTTTTAGCACATAGAGCAATAATTAAAGAGTTCAACTAACCACAATCTGATCTTCGGAGGCAGACGAGACACTGCTGTCATCGAAGTAATACCACTTTTCATCCATTTTATTCTTGCCATAAGCGGTATCTGTCTCAAGACAACATGAAAATGTTAAACTGCTATTCAGAGTCAAAAAAGGAAGATCTAATCACACTAGTTTGGGAACATGCATTTGGGGAAACCTAAACTTGTACATGCAGCTGCAAATAAGGGTATTTGATACTATAAATTGCACCAAATGTGATGCATTGGTAAGACGTAGACTACAGAGCTTACAATAATGTTTTAATTGTAAAAAAATAATATGGAATAAAGCGGGTCTGGAAAATAAATTGACTTACAGTGACCACCCCCCATTCCTCCGTAGTGGTTTGAAACAGCAATGAGGTCGTAGACATAAGGGCTGGCCTTTGGATCACAGACAAACTCTGACATGTTCAGATCCCTGACAAAAGAAAAGGATTTGTTCTGCTTTAGCCAAGGATAAATTACTCATCTCCTTTTAACCCAACAATGGTGGTAAACGTTTCCCAACAGCAGTCAGCGTGTGATACGTAGCTAGTAAGACTACACAATCCTGTAGCAACTTCTTGTTTTTACACACACAATGTATAATGCCACTGAAGAGGATTTTAAAAAAGGCCGAAAGTCTTTATGTTCAGTATGTTTCGCAATAAAACCAACTGGGTGATAAAGAAAGGTTTTATTGTCTTTCGAATTCTGATCAAAGGTCTGAGACAAGAAGCAACTTTACTTTGGGAAATGATCAGCATTTCCTCATCCACATGTATGATTAACGTCTCTGATGTTCAGATTACACAATCCAGCATTGTTAAAGGATTATGATTTACAAAAAGGCATTTGACAAGTGTATTTGTTCATTGATGAATACAATTATTCCATTGCACGGCTTGTTCCTTGAATGTAAGACGCATAAAAATGACACTTCTTCACATTAGGGTTACAACTAGGGTTGCATACAAAAGATGTTCTCTGAAAGGGAGGGAGGGTACAATTTAAGGGGAAATTTTAAGACTAATAGATGTAAAACAACAAGGAAAAGATTATGTTTATCAATTTGCGGAGTTAAATTGTGGAACAAACTAAATGAGAACCTAAAGCCTAAAAATTCCTTTTAAAAAAAAATGTACAAAGAAATTATTTTCAAAAGGTATAGAGAAGCATTGTACGGTACAAAGTTTTGTTTGTGTTTTTTGTTTTGTTTATTTGTATAGATGTATGAAGGTATATGTGTGTATATATATTTATGTATGTATATGTGTAGGTAGGTATGTATTTATATGGATATATATGCCAACATAATTATAAATATTGTAAATTAAAGAAATACAAGATTTAAAGGGGTAGGAGCACATAAGTTTTACTTCTTCCTACTCCTTTTCGCACATGTAATAGAGGTAAATTAACTTAGGAAAGAAGGGTACCTTGTTTGTTGTTTTCCTCTCCAATGTTTTTAACCATTCGTTTATTGTTTTTTTTTTTTTGTTTTTTTCCCTTGCATGTTCGAAATAAAGATACCAATCCAAAAAAACCCAAAAAAAAACTACATACCTCAGCACGGTAACATATGATTGAAATAGCATGTCCATGTTTAGCCCTTAAAGTCTACTCAGAATCCAGTTTGAAAATAATTCATGTTTAAAGATGGTCCATATGAACTACAATGCAATAAAAGGTGCTTAAGTGTGCTCGCATAGGGTATCTGAAGAAAAATGCATGCCACACTATTCAGCCTTTTAGAGATAACATTGAAATAAAATAAAAAAATCTTGTCAATTTCACAATTATGTAATTCATTGTTTTGGTCAGTAACATCTTCCCCAACAAGAAAAATACAAGTCTGTGGTTTTTAAGGTGAAAAATATAAGAGTACCAGGGGAATAGATACTTTTATAAAAGACCAACTAGATAAATAATAAACCACACAAAACAGAACTAAAACATTCAGTCTGAAAAAAATAATACAAATTCAACATAAAAAAAAAATTACATCAGAAGGGGCATTTATTTTGGACTAATGAAAGGGTATTTACTGAATGTACATGTTTTCTTTTAAAAGAGAATCAGTAAAGTTAAATGTCAACAACAAAAAAGTCCAAAAACCATTTGATCAATTCTCAATAGAACTCCTGCACCAAAAGAGAAGAGTCCGGTGAACCAACTACAGGCAGCACCGCAGAACTATCAGAAAGCCAGATGCGCTGCGATAAAGCGACAGCTATGTGTGGTCAAACGCAAACTACAGCAACGCTGAGTTCTTGTAAATCCTCCCAGACTCACCAGAACATATAAAAAAAAAAAAAAATCTTGTTCCTACTGAATGAAATTTAAGAAAAGGTATTTGTTTAAATTTGTTAAATTGGTTTAAATTATTCTATTGGAAAGAATAGATTTTAACCAATGTATAATGTTTAGATATGAAGACTCTAGACACTAAGAATAGCATTGCTATCAGCTTTAATAAAGACTTTTACATTTAGACTGCTGGGAGTCTCTGCTGAGACTGCTGCCCCCTCGACCCGGTCCCTGATAAGCAGACAAGTACAGGAACATGCGGTTCATAGCTCTCCCAGCATGCACCGCAGCAGCAGCAGGTTCTAGTGCAGCGCTCAAAGAGTATTAAGTTAAAAGTTCTGTTTTCTGTTGTTCTATAAAAGTAGGTTTTAAGATCATTTAAGGTGAGAACATTATACTTTTAAGCTTCACTATATGGCCCATTTATTGATTTAGTGTAATTTACAAAAATGTTTTGATGTTGAGCGGACCCTGGCAACCAGCGGAGCTCCTAGGCCAGGCATCCCCCAACGTGGGTTCTGGAGGGCTGCTGTCCTGCAGGTTTTAGAGGTTTAGCTGCTTTAGCACAACTGCTTCTGATGATTGCAGCTCAGTAACAGCCTGTTAATCAACTATCAATGTAAATCAGATGTGCTTGGAGCATGGAGACCTCTAAAACATGCAGGATAGCGGCCCTCCAGGACCAACTTTAGAGATACCTGTCCTAGGCCAACTGCAGCCAGGTTTAATGTTAGCCCGTCTGCAGCAGCCCACTAGCTCTGATGGCAATTATCTTGTTTTATTTTGCAAAAAATTCATTTGATTTGTGTTTATGGGACTGTTTTTAACCATTATTCTGCCACTAAATAAAAAATATATATATATATTATTATCTAGAGTAGGGGTCTGAAACCGGTTCCAGAAAAGACCATGTGGCTGCAGGTTTTCTTTCTAACCAAGCAATGGCACACCACACTCAATTCAACTAATTAATTCATCATGTTCAGTTTGCACTCAGTTGATGAGATGAACTGAGGTACCGAAAGTCAATCAACTGCGGGAAGAATTTACAATGCAACTAATAGAGCTGTCTAAATGATGGCTGTGGGAGATTGAGGTAAAATTAACCATATTTATTTCTTACGTTTTTATCTTATAAAAACAAATGACATGAAAATGATGGAAATATAGAAAGAGAAAAAGTCAAGTAACATGAGCAACATATGATTAATGTAAATAAAGTTATTTCCCTTTAAAATCTCAGAACCGTCAAAATGACGGCCGTGAGAGTTTTAGTGTTAAAGTGTCCTGTGCTGGTAGCTAAAAACAGCAAATATATAAAAGGTTCTGGTTGACTTCTGACTTTAAATAAAGCTTTTATTTGCAGAAGTCTTTTGAACATCATACCTGATAGGAAAGTCCACCAGCGTGTCAAGCTTGTCCCTCCAGCATCGATTGTAAGAGAAACGCTTAAGATGAACGACCAGGATGCGTGGCAGCGACCATAAGTCAAACTTTTTTGTTGCTTGCTGATGTTTTTTACATGTTGGACAATACCTGCATTGCAAAAACAGATTTTGATATTAAAATACAGCGGTAGAAGTCTGAGTCCAACAACTGCAAATGAGCCCTTACCAAGGATCATGTTCTCCCAGAGTCTCCATGGTGGTAAAAAGCTCAATGCATTCTTTCAGAGCCACAGTTGTTTTCTTCTTTTGAGGCTGCAGCATGCTCTCGTGTTTCTCATAGGCCTGCAACAAATGTTTTCATAAGTATGAGTGATTGTTTGCATGTTATGTCACAGCATTTATCTGAGGGGAAAAAAAACAGACTCCTGACCTCCGCTTCCTGCTCATCATAGTACAGTTTCTTTGACTCCGTGTCCCAGTCGATTGCCACCGTAGAATGTGCTGTATAGGAAATAATTATTAAATTCAGAGGCTGCACAAAATACTTTCAAAAAGTGCATAAATAAATGCAAAAATATCAGTACTGACGGTTAAGTTTGAGGACATTTCCATTGCACGGCAGCGGGCTGATATTGACTGTGCCATAGGAGTTGACTATGCTAAAAGTAAAGAGCCTCGCTGTCTCTCCTTTGGAGCCATTTTCCAAGTCTGAGCTCTCCTCCTCTTCTTCAGACTGCCCATTCTCTGGCTCAGGACTCACCTGGTGATCCATGGCCTCGTCATCACCTAAACAGTAAAGTTTTGGAAAGACAAATAAATTCCGGATCACATTTCCAAGATAACGTTTTTCTTTTGCAACCATAGCAGTTTCTATCTGCTTATTACCGTCATCCAGCCCATTAGCTTCAGTGCAGGTTCCGGAGTGGTTGCTACCATTACTGGAGCTGGCACTGCAAGAGGCCCCGTCTGACTGGGGGCTGCCACAGCCGCCCAGACTGGCATTGATGGTAGATGATGCAGAACATTCAGGAGCCTGACTGCAGCTGGATAAAGTAGCTGATGCTGATGCTCGGCTTTCACCATTAGGGTTGTGCTGCTGTTTAACATAGCGTCTGCCACACAAAACAGGAAAAGAAAGCAACATTACAGACTGTAACGCTTATTTTTTCATCAAACTTAATAAGAAAATATAAAGTGTCACTAGATGTGTCGCCTATGCTTGAATTTTAATTTTTATTATAGTTATCCAGTCATTTCTTACCCAATCCGTTCCAGGATCTTCTCGTAAAGGACGTCAGCTAACAGGTTATGTCTGGGCACGGAGATAAGTAAAGGTTGGCCAAATAACAAGGTGCTAGAAGAGCTCCCAACATGCTTAGAGTGGCGCTCCCTGAAATATACAGGCAGGTTCATCCTCTCACTGTCCTCCTCTTGGACCTCATACCTGCAAAGACCAAAAGCATTGGATTAAAATTAAATGCAATCAACAAACAAATTAGGTCTTTAAAGAAGACTCACACAAAAATGTCATCCTTGTCCATGATTTGGTTGAGGGCGTCATCCCGTCTGTAAATTTTATGGAACCTGTGATTGTAAACGTCAGCTACCACCATCTGCAAAGGCAACAAGGATTGTGAATCTTAAGTAACGGTGGTCAAAAAGAAATTCAAGTGATCAAAATCTGGAGGCAAGCTGACCTTTTCAGGAGGAATTCCACAGAGTTTGGACAGTGCGCTGCAGAGGTCTGTGACTGTTCCCAGTTTGGGGACCACCACTCGGTACTGCCGAACAAGGAATAGTGTTGCAGAATTAAAGACTGACTTAAATAATTCAACCGGTCTATAGTAAATAGGAAAAAATTATTAAGAACCTTAACCCTTAATTGAATGATTCTAGCACCTCGATTAAGCATTGTCTACCCTGCTGATACATGGATGCTAAGTGCGGTTATGGGCCACGAAGGAAGACACTGACAGCCAAAAAGAAGCGCCAAAAAAAAAAAGTCGTAGTGTAGGGCTCCTTCAAACTCAACAGAAAAGAATATTCTGCAGCAGACCGGCTCTTATAACACGAGCTCCTGGCACTGCCTAAGCTCTCATTTTTGCCCCTGACTGTAAAACTTCTTTTGATTGGTCTGCATGGTGTTGGCAAATGACATAAGGATACAGGATCGTATCATCATGTGAAAACAGAGAGGGTACACGCGTATCAAACTGTCAGAGTTTTACCTGGAGAAAAACCAACAAGGACGTGCAAAACTCATAATATGGCTACAGTTTATATAATGAGATCAAAGCAGGAAGCTTTCACTGCAGAAAAAACAAGCAGGTTTCACTGCAAAGATATATCTGATCTGTCTCTTTATAGGAAAGTTTGGTTCTTTGGATTTCCTTGCAGTTTTTTTTTCTGACAAATTATTAATATTGGAATAAAATGTTAAACAAAAGTAAGTTTTTAAAGGTTAGATTCAACATTTAGCATGAAGTGTAATCACCTTTTGTTTTTTGTTTATGCACTAAAGAAAAAAAAAACATTTGAATAGAATTGTATAATATCATGCATTTATCAAAAACACTGAAAATGTTCTGTTCATGTTTGAGTGAAGCAATTAACACGTATCATTTGCTCCGATAGCACTTGCTTAGTTTTTTTTTTTAGCTTGAACAGATTTCTGCACAGGGTATGATCAGCAGACATAAGTTGTATGGCGTCGCCATCTGCTGGCAGTACTTACACATCAATCCATTTGGCGGCTTCTGCTGCTTTAGCTCCCACTACAGTAAACTGAGCACTACTTGTGTTTAATTCCTCGTGGCATCGAATATATTTTGAGGGCTTTTTTGTTTTGTTTTTTCTTCCTTACACCTGATATTGATCTTTAACACTTTCATTTCACACCTATGCTGGGAGTTTCTTCCATTACTTCATTTTTTACTCAACAAGCACAATACCATACCTCAGTCATGTGGTCTTGTAAAGGTAAATATACAAAGAAAAGTTTAAAACCACAAATATCAATATAATAAACATGCAGTGAACCATGTTTTAATAAAAAAGACTTAGTATGCAACCTGTGTAAATATCCAAAGTTATGACTCGGCTCCATCATGTTAAATTAAAGGAAAAACTTTTTGAATATATTTTTATCCAGTTACTTTAGGGTTCTCAGCCAGCCAATTTCTCCCCTTACAGTTGGTAAAATTACACTGTAATAAGGCTTCTACTCTTAATTTCAATCAGCATGATTGCTGCAGAAATGTTTTTTGAAAACACCTATTTGTTTATTTTTCCACATATTAATGGAAAAGCTGTTAGAAGAGTCATTGCCATAAAACTGTTATTTAGACAGTCTTAAGTTAAGCTAATTGAGGTGTATGCATCTAGGTTCAGCATCTCCCAAGTCTTTTTTCAGATGAGGGGCGTGCTGCAAGTGGAAGACTAAAACCAGTACAAAAATGTACCGCTTTTAAATGTTGGAACCTATAACCTATCAAACGTGTTTAAATATAGGTTTTAATCTATTTTACAAAGGAAAGCTTTAAGACTGACTCTTAAATTTGCATTACCTGAGTGGGTCTTGACTGAGGGTCTGATCGAACCAAAAACACCTCCATGGTCCTGTCCTTTTTCATAGGGAGAGGCAGCGTGAGGTAACAGAAAGGGTCAAAGGTCACAGACACTTTGGAACACTCTGGGCAGACTAATGTGGATTTAAAGAGGCCATGGAAAGTGTCCACTATGACGGAGTCGTTGCGTAAGCGGTGGTTCGTCCAGGCTTCCTTTGCAACAATCTGTAATCAAACCAACAACCAGGTAAGCTTTAATAACAATATACAATGGCAATCCAAGATGGCAAGAGCCAAAATCTGATTAAGTAAGAATTTTGAGACGTGTCTTATAAATCTTGGAAAACAAAGCAAATAATGTTAAATAATAAATGTATAAATAATGTTATAAAAACTTAACAGCCTGTGAATCTTTTGGTCACCTTATTTTTCCTCTTAGAAACACTAGTTTTATTAATTTAATTTTTAAAATACAAAAGCTGAGGTTAGCATAAGAAGCAGTTCTCTTTAAGTGTCACAAAGGGGTAACAAGAAATTAAACTACTTTCAACACTAAGGCAAAAAGGTTTCTTAGTGGTCCAAAAACACGATGTGGTCACCTAGACAACAGCAGTATCAAATCTCACACATGTCAGCGTCTGTTTTGCCAGTGTAATTTAGTTATAATTTTAGACATAGCAAAACAAGACATGTCATCCACCGAAAACTCATTAAGTGGCAAAGCAAGAGGATGTTCCACATAAGTAGTTTTATGTCAGTGCATTTGTGTTTAGGGTGGTGGGATCTACATTGGCTAGCAGGGGCAGACCGCAGCATTTTATGCAGATGGTGCAGCTGGGGTCGGCTTCAAACTTTTCCACTCTGGGAGCAAGTTTTAAATGGAGTCTGATCTGTGGAAGCTTTGTCTGGATGGAACTCCTATCTAATCAAGAAGTTTGTTGAATTTAACCAAACCAGGGTTCCTCAAGATGGAGCCATAATCCATTTTCACAAAAGAATCTTGCATTTCTTGCAGAACATCCTCTTGATCCCCTACTTGCTTGAACATCTGCACTGAGATTTCTCTGGGAGGCACGCTTTCTTTTGCAATGTTAAAGTCATAATTGAGTACGGTTCCAAAGAGGTTCTATTGTGGGCTAAATCAAACCCAACATCCTGTCAAATTTGGTACTCTTGTCATGCAAGTCACCACATCAGGTCTGGGAATATGGACAAATGGACTTTTACTTTAGTTCTGTTATAATTTTATTTTTAAATATTTCCTTTGAAAGTTTGCCCATCCTTTTTGTCACTGAAAAAGAGAAACGCCTCAAATAGCTAATTGTTTTAGTACACATAACTAAGAAGATCAAAAAACAAAATTATAAAATTCCACATTAAAAATGTAATTCTCAGATGACAGAATCTAAAAATTCTTAATGCTAACAGTTTTTTTTTTTAATGCAGCATTAAAGACTTATTTGACACCATTCAAATGCATACTGCTTACATCATCTGGACGACCCTCTGCATCCCTCAGGGCCAGGTAAGGCTTCTTTTTGACACGGTTCAAATCTTCATGGAGTCCGTCCAGCAGGAAGGCCAACAGCTCCTGAGAGTCCTGCTGCTGATAGCCTGAAAACTGCGGAGCAAATCTTCCAACCTGGGTCTGCAAATCAACAGGCACACATCACTGCTTTTAGTTGGCTTTTATGTGAGTTTGCAAAGGAAGTTAACCATTCTCTGATTTATCCGAAGCAGCTCACTTTAAAGGTACGAGGGGCCACATAACTGTTGCGGCTCATCCACATCTGCTTCACCAGATCTGCGTAAGCTTCGGCAATCTCCCCCCTCATTCCCAGAGGATTCTCTCGGTTAATCTCAGCTTCATACTGGTCTGTGAGGAAGTACTCTGTGAGTAGAGACACATTGCTCAGGCACTGGAAAAAGAGGAACAAGAAAGGATTATGTAAACAAAAAAACAAAAAAAAAAAATGTATAAGTCTGATAGGCTGGTTCATTTGAATTCTTTTACCTGGAGAGCCGAGTTCATGAAGCATGTATTACCCAGATTACTGAGACCACACAGGCCAGGCTGCGACTGTGACTCTCTATAGTTGTAGGAGGAGCTATACGAATTGTATCCCCCATATCTGTGGAGAGAAGGGATTGGTTACTGCTGGTAGACTAAAACATACATACCCAGACACCAAGATTTGTTGCACTTTGGTGTCTTGGTGAAAGTAGAGAGAGACATCACTTCATCTGATCCACAGCTGATTGAGAGCCAGTTTGTTAAATATAAAGTGTGTGTTTGCTTTAATTAAACCCTTTTTCCTGACTCTAATTAGTAGATATTTTCTGGACATTGAAATACTAAACATTAACATTTGGAGTACATCATCAGTATGTTTTACAATTCATGAAATTAAACTAGGTCCAAGTGGTATTTCTTTCCATCTGGGCTTGTTTATGGATTGAACTATTTCAAATTCTGTAACGTACCTGGCAGATAAAAGTTTTATTCACAGTATATACATCAGCTACTGCCACTCAATAATTATATTTCCAGATATATTAAATCAATTTTCACCTCAGTATACAGTACTTGACACATATTGAAACTGCTCTTCTCAAAAATTCTCCTATTCAACATCAAAGAGTCTGATCCAGAACTAAATTAGTCATGTGACCCAGAGTGCTACTTTAAGGCGGTCTGAGTTCCACTAAAACATCAGAGCTAACCAAGCTAAAAGTTGTTAATAGGCAACAAACAGATAATTGCCTGAATCACTTGATCAGACATATTTTTAGTTCCCTGATAGGATTTAATCTAGAGGGGTAAATGAGGACTTGTGTTTAAAAGTAACTCATGACTTCTCAATCTGCTGGTCCAAAATGGTCCGCTATCAGATTCCAAAACACAGAGGGAGACTGACTTCGTAACAGTGCCATGTTGCCAGTTGCTCTCAGGGGCACTAAACCTGATAGTCACAGGTCTAGTGCCAATAGCAGCTATTAGCAATTTACAGTTAACTGTGAGCTATAACCATAAACATCAATTGATCAACTCATAAGATATTTTTCTTCAATCAATTAATAATCACATACATTTTAAGATTTCAAAAGAATTTAGAAAAAAAAAAAAAATCAACATGTTCAGAATACTTTCAATTTAAAACGCTCTTCTTTCTTTCATGCAACAACGTTGCAGCCCATCAGCAGCTAATTCTAGGATAACACCTTCAGTTTTAGTCCTTTAACCAAACAATATTACCCAATAGAAACCAGGAATAGCATCAGATTTACTCGTATTGCTTGTAAACCACATAGCTAAAACAATCTGTGCTTCAACTGCGTTAATAAGAATGGAATAATCAAACAGACGTAAATGCAAACTACCATGGTTTAAGGGGAAAAAAATCACATCAACAAACACAATAAAGTCGAAGAAATGACAAAGTCCAATTTTTCTGAATTGGATGTTTTTGTAAACCTATTCACTTAAATTCAATTATATACTTTCTGGCTCAAAGAAGCAATGACTACTCTCCTGTAAAATGCATTATCTGCTGTATGCAAAAACACTTTTGCAAAAAGCTACTCTGTAGCTGAAGCAGATAAATACATGTAAAAGAAGAAAATAACAGCAGAGTATAGGAGATATTATTTCTTGCCTGTTGTTAGAGGAGGTACTGTTATTAAGAGCATAACCAGGGCTACTGCTGCTGTCGCCATTGGTTACTGTTGGAGATGCACCAACTGATGAATTTGATGAAAGTTTTGGGGAGGTAGAACAATTTCTAGATGGAGTTGCACTGGATCTGGAGAAAAAGTAGAGGCACATTCAGGAAGGACATTACAACTTAAACTTTTAATATGCAAAAATAATAATTATCATACAGGAGAAAAAAAAAAGTATTAGTTTTATATATCAAAGTGTTTTCTTACTTTGGTTGCAAAGCTTGTCTAGGCCACGTGCCATCCTCATTCTTGCGTTCAATCACAAGCACCTGTGGGAAAACAACCAGAGTTAAAGCCAAACTTTAACCATTTACTTCTAAAGGCTGGTTTATGCTCAGAAACCAGGTCATCTGCGTGTGTATCGCAGTTAACGCAGATATGCCCTCGCCCCTTCCTCAGACACTCCGGTGCATCTCTCCAAAATTGTAGGTGACCACAGACAATGCTGCAGACAGGAGGCCTCGGACTGGTCAAATCTACATCTGCTCTACACTATGCAAATTTCCTGTTTGGTACCTTACCGGCTTGTTTTGTTTGTATGACCACCATTGTGGAAATCGACTCGTGAAGTTGGACCAGCTAGAAGAGCGAGGAGCGAGAGAACGCTCGGACCCATTTTCCACCTGGATCTGTGCTAATTTTTGCCTTCATGTCCCTCTGTTGTTGCACAAACTTGATAACTGTCCGTCTTTCATCATGGTGGAATAACATAACGCAGACCCCGCTTCAAAAGTGGGCATAAATAAAAAATATCTGCATCATATCTGCGACAAGCACACTAAGAAACACTGCTGCGGGAATATACCAGCCCTTAAGTTATAGCTATGTCTCAGGTTAAAAACAAACACAGTATATACATTAGCAGCCGTCATGCTATGTTAAGATGTAGAGGGTTTATTAAATGATTTGCAGTTAATTTTGACAATAGTTACAGTTTCAATCTATATTAATTTTAAACAGATGTAAGCCTTCATTTGACTGTATCCAAGCCAGTTACATAAGTTAACCAACCAGGATATTTACAGGCAAATCTTCGTAAATAACATGACTGAAAATCCAATTAATTTCAGCAACTTAAATGAAACAGAAGTTTGCAATAGAATGATATGTCTGAAGCATATATTTCTGTTAAATTTCCATAATTACAGCTTACAGTAACTAAACGTTAAATAAAATTTGCTTATCTGAAAGATATTACAAAAAATCTGTATCTTATCTTATTGAAAAAACTTTTATCATTGCCCATGACACAATAAAAACTTCTGAAATAACTGCACTCAAATATAAATTAAAGTTTAAGCCATTGACGATGGGTGATTTTCAGACCTTTACAGTGGTAGAGAAAATCAGTTTCACATCTAAGTTCAGCTGATCACTGAGCTCCCAAAATAAAATAAAAAAATCGGGTCTGATCGATCAGCTACCCCTAATTTGTACACTGTTTTTAATTTTAGGAGCAGCTGCGATCAACAATTGCAATATTCTACAAAACAATCCCAACAGAATGTCTCAGGTCAATCTGTTGTAAATATGATGCAGTTTAGACAATACTTCAATTCCTCATAACAAGGAATACTGGGAACTACATACTATAATCCTATCATAAAAATCTTACATTGAGGCTATTGTGCAGCTCTGCATTAAGCTATGTCATGTTCTTCTTTTAAAGCAAGGCCTTTGACTAACTAATTAAGGTAGAGATGGAGCAAAGATCGATGTGTTGGTATGTCATATGGTCTATCAGTGCTCTTTGTGTAATCTCAATAGTACAAAGTCTTCACTACCTGTCCCTGGAAGAGACCAGCATCCTGTACAGTGCTGTCTGGCTTGTTCAGCTGCTCATATGTGTTGCTCATGTATTTGTTCCAGAGTCTGGTCTCCTTCTCTGAAGGGATATTGAACAATGTCCTCATCTCCTTCTCTATAGTATCTGGAAACAAAAAGTTCACATTGTACAAACAAGTCAACATACAGTCAAAAAAAGCCCCCAGTTCTAACACAAACCTCGCCATAATTCTTACCTATAGTGTCAGCTTTACTGAAATGGCGTGTGATGACATTCTCCATGTTGTCATTCTCACACAAGTTGAGTTCAAGCAGATAGACTTCAACCTTACAGTGCTTAACAAACATGCCATGTTCAACCACCTACAGGATAGATACAGAATTAGACAGAACGGTTATTAGCTGATAGTAGATCAACACGACATGAAATGAAAGGGAAAAAAATAAGTGCTGTACCTTCCTGACAATGGGTCTCTGGCCCTCTAGGCACCTATACCAACTGACAAGCTTATTCCATGCCTCAGTGGGTACAAGGACATAGTCAAGCTCATCTATAAGGTGCTCTTTCAGGGCTTGAGTCTCCTGGTCTTAAACATTAAACATAAAATTATTAATTATAAGAGAGACAATGACAGATATATTTTTCATATTCTCTAATTTAGGAAAGGATAATTCTTTAGTTTTACCTGAGAAGAGCCCAGAATTATCAATTGGACCTGGGTAGAGGCTGCGTTCCCCAACATTATACATGTCCCAGCTGTCAAATCCTACATATTTCTTCCATTGTTTGAACCACCGACTGTCTATTAGATACCTAAACAAAATGTAATCAGTTAGAATTTAGTTTTTTCTTATAATCAGACAGAATGCAAGAAACTATAAGGTGGCTGATAATAGGAAACAGTGGACTTATGTCTTGACAGATCATTACACAACACCAAACTGTTTCAGCTAGAGACCAACTAGTTTAGATTTTCTCTTGTATAAAGCGAATCCTATAGTCAACAGACGTTAAGCAAAGACGTTAAGGAGTAATATAACTATCTGCAATGGAGAATTAACGTTATTAGCTCTTGAGTACAAAACAAGTTTCGTAGAACTATAAAAAAGGACCCAGGTCCTTATATGATAGGGATAAATATGAGAGTACGATAAATAAATAACCGCATATAGATAGCTAACAAGGATTGAAAAACATTGGGACTAAAATTCCCAAGAGCGATAAAAGTAGCCACTTCTTGTCAGAGAGCCGGTTTGACTAGAATACATCAGATAATTTCGGGGCCTGTAAGCTATCTCAAGTTAGCTTACTCAAACTTGTCATTACATGGGCGTTGAGGTTATATCTCTATTCATATAGCTGGTGGGTAAATATCTGATCTGGTACAGACAAATGTTGGTGTTTATGGTCACATACATGTCTCTTAACAGAACAGTCGGAGTGCTTAGCAGTTAGCATGCTACTCTCTGTGTCATTAGCTTGCCGCTAGCGCAACAGCTTTCGGTTTTACGCTTTCATATTCGGTGTTAGCTTTAGCATGTTAGCACTTCCTGTTTCATGCTAGCTAGCCCTAAGACAAACAACGACTGAATATTGTCGATCCTTACCAGTCGTCTCCCTTTTTTAAAGTTGTTTTCAAAAGTGACCCAATGGTTTGTTTTTGGTTTTCTATTGAAGGAGTTGGCATTTGTGCGGCAACCGGCTCTGAGTCCGAGTCTGCCGCGCTGCCGGATTCGGGTCCGCCTCCTTCAGCCATCATGCAGCGAGTGGACCGGTGTCGTGAACGAGCAGGCTGGTGAACGAGCATGAGACAGCTTCCTCCCAGAAGCCGCAGCCGCAAGCTGGTGCTGAATGAGCTGCTGACTCTGCAGGCGCTCTCCCTCATAAAAATAAATAAAGTTTCGAAAGTAACTTCGCTGTTTTCTCAGGTTTTAGTTTTTTCAAATTAGAAATTGCATTCGTTTCCAATGTACAGATCACATTCTCTTCACTTCTGGAGGGAGGCTATCCTCTGACGTCAAGCTGGGTCATAGGGCCTTTAAATCTGGTCCCGATCATTTATGGTACAGTGCCAGTATACGGAAGAGGATTAGGGCCACTGTAAAAATAAAAAAAGTTAACTGATTATTAAATTTTATTTCAGAATAATATCACAATTCTGACTTTGATTGTGTTCTCACAATTCTGACTGTTTTCTCAGAATTCTGACTTTAATCTCAGAATTCTGCCTTTTTTCTCACAATTCTGCCTTTTTTCTCACAATTCTGACTTTTTTTTCTCACAATTCTGACTTTAATCTCACAATTCTGACTTTTTCTCAGAATTCTGCCTTTTTTTTCTCACAATTCTGACTTTTTTTCTCACAATTCTGACCGTTTTCTCAGAATTCTGACTTTAATCTCAGAATTCTGACTGTTTTCTGAAAGCTAACAGCTCTCTTGTTTTAATCCCCTTCTGCTCTTCCATTAATGAAATAGCATCACCGGGGACACCTCTGGCATGTAAAAAGTCACCTAATTCCATCTTTTTCCACCAATGTGTTACCAGCCCTCCCAAACAACTCACATCTTTATCAGTGAAGCTGAGTGCTCCCACATCTCTTCCTTCATGGTGCCCATCTACATTGAGATCCAAAATTCTAAGATTAAAGTCAGAATTCTGAGAAAAAAGTCAGAATTCTGAGATTAAAGACAGAATTCTGAGATTAAAGTCAAAATTCTAAGATTAAAGACAGAATTCTCAGAAAAAAAGTCAGAATTCCGAGATTAAAATCCATATTCTGAGAAAAAAGTCAGAATTCTGAGAAAAAAGTCAGAATTCAAAGAAAAAAAATTCTGAGATTAAAGTCACAATTCGGAGACAAAAAAAGTTCTCCTTAGCTCTAAAGTCTGGATTAAAATCATTCCATTTAAACTTCAAGCATGTCTTACCTTTCAATGCCTGGTAGTTGAAAGTTATCTGGAGCAGAATATCATTTTGTACATTTGTGTTAGGTCATTAGTCTGCATATAAGCTTGATTCACTGCAACTAATATGGATTAATCCAATGAAATTATCTACATTGAAGCTGTAAAGTAACCTATAGACATTAATAAAACATTTGACCCTATTTTACACATTTTAACATTTGATTCATGGATAATATAAAGAAGATTTTAAAGCTATTTTTAATCCTAACCCTGTAGCTCTACCCAGCAAATTACTAAAATTATACCCGCAGTTTTCAGTTTTCTATTTTAAGTTAATCTATTAGTCTAAATCTATTGCTCAAAATCCTTCCTTTTTACTCCAAGGAAAATATGCTTAAACTTGTTCTAAAATTGATAAGTTGCTGGATTCAACCATTCTTTCTTCTTGGTCTTCCTGTTATTCATCCATCAATATCCAGGTTTGCTTTGTTTAAAGGGTAATAATTCATGATCCCTATAGCTTATTATTAAATTATGAATTTTTCTGGGGATTCAGAAATGTTATGTTAGTAAAGGTAAAGGCAAAAAGTCTCCTAACCAGACGAGTCGTGATTCTTCCACATTGAGGCTGCCATCTGTAACTAGAACCTTTGCAGAGAAATGAACAGTTTTTACACTATAATCTTCGGCAACTACTCACCCAAGTCATTTCTTCAGCATTTATCAAACTGTTGGACCGGTCATTCCTCTTCCCTTGTTCTATAGCTTCCTGAGCTTCTATCAATATGAAATCAGCATTTCGGTAGCGCTGATCTGCAGAAGAATAAGTGTGACGTCTCTTGACAGAAGATCGCACTTAGGATTTAATATAACACAGTGGAGCAGCACAAGCAGAAACATGGCTCAGTAAATTATTAAATACACTTGTGAAAATGGTAAAAAAAAAAGTGAAAATATGAACATGGTTAGCTCAGCCAGATAGTGACAAATTAATCATATCATAACTTAAAAACATAACTTATTGCTATATATTCAGTATATTCATTGTGGATCCACAAAAATACCCTCAGTCAGGAAGCAGAGATCACAGAGCGTCATGGTTTTATTTCAACACAGGAGTTTTTAAACATCCGGTCAGTGGGATCAAGTACACAACATCACAGGTTTCAGCCAACCAGACACTCATCAACAAACATCATCACCAGACAAACAGGTACAGGAGAAGGTAAAACTGGGGCAGTGATTCACACACTGCTCCTAGAAAGGGCTTCATTCTGCTGTTTGACTGATGCCGTCTTTTTGAACCACAGGAACATCACATCACATGTAAAGAGAGAATGAGGGTGCACCAGGTGCCCTGTAGCTAACACACAACAGAAGTCTTAATCAGTTCAGCTGTTGCCAACAACACCACAACTTGTCTTTAAAATGACAGGAGCTAAATGCTCAACCACAGCACAAGCCACAGAGAAATTATTAGAAAAAAAATAAACATTGGGAGATGAATCTATTAAATCTAAGTAGTTGTTCATGTTTACAGCAGTTATTTTTTCCCCCTAGATTTAAACAGGTCTAAATGAGCATTATATTATAAATACTCCATGACTGAATGTAGCTTGATGGCTGAATAGCAATAAAAAGTAGGACAAGTAAACATCACTTTGAATCTGGCAAAAAAAGGTCAACGTATTACAGTATAAAAGTAAAAAAGGAACACAAAACTGAATAAAAAAACTGATATTGTGCACAAAAGGCACTCAAATGCTTTGTTCTACTTACACATAAATAAAGAACTGTTAAATATGCTTAATTACTTGTACTTTATGAAACTCATTCTCTCTAATAGATGTAAAAAGATCCAAAACTATTCTATTAAATGAAGACAATAAGAGCATCTTGGATCATTTTAAGCATCCTGATAGATTCAGATCATATCTATCACGCCCTAGAAAGATGATTACTTTACTAGATGGTGACGTGATACCAGCAAGAATCAGAGGAGGGCGCAAATGGAGTGTATGTCTTTAAAAGGCTGTATGGATTTTGCCTTAAGAGCAGCGCCCTTCTTAACAATCACCTCACAGAAGCACTTATACATCCAGTAATGAGAGTAAAAAAGTAAAGAGAAAATCCAGCAAATATTTTCAGTCTGAATGGTGCATCTGTGGTCGAGTTGTGAAATCAGCACCCGATTTAGGGTCTGGTTATGTAAGCATAGTGCCAGACAAACATTATGGAAAGCCAAGAGTGCCACAATTCAACCAGTTAAATGTAAATGTGTCAACACTTTTGAATGAACAGTTAATCAACACAAAAAAATCTGCTAATTAAATGTGCAAATCATGAAACTGATCTGTTGTATCAAGAAAAATTATTTCGGTATTAATTATTTTTCCCTGAACTACAGTACTTCCTGCTATAATTAATACAGTTAGCTGGGCTCTAGAGATAAAAACTAAAATTGAAAAACCTTCACAGCAATTTCATTAGACTAATCTCAGCCAACTGACAAATTGGTAACATTAGTAGTGAAATACGTCAACAACATTCTGCAAAAAGGATATGCATATGAAATAATGATATAACCCTAATACATCCTCCTGAATGATTTACACTTTATTTATTTCCTATAACTGTATGAATAAACGCCAATTTAACCTTTAACATAACATTGATTATATTTTAATGACTTATTTATTGAATTGTGGCACGTTTAGCTCAATTTCTCATTCAATTAAAGAACTTCAACAAATTTCAATCAGTGCATTTCACCATCGCAGGCCCTCAAACCACAGCCACTGAGTCTGATATCATGAGGGCTTCATTACAGCGCAAAACATGCAGAACGGAGCAGGCTCTTTGGGTTGCAGGTTACAAGGTGTCTGAACTAAGTGTGTCAGAAGACAACAAGTGCAGCAGATATAAACGCTGAAATAGTCTACTGTGGTCTAAATCCTGCAACAACAAAAAAATATATTCTAAGTATTATTGTATTAATCATGAATAGTCACAAGGCTCAAAGTAAGGATAGTCTGTTAAAATAAAAAATACAAACTTCTCACATTTGCTAGGATTATGGAGGCCTGAAAAGCCATGATTTTGTTTCATCTGATTTTTGTTATCTATCTATCTATCTATCTATCTATCTATCTATCTATCTATCTATCTATCTATCTATCTATCTATCTATCTAT